AATACTAAGAAGGCCATGTTGCAAGAGTTTTTGTAGCATGTGCCCATCAAATCCTTTTTTGATGATTATGGTGCGCTTGGGGGCTGAGGAAGGAATTCATTGCAATCACCATAGCAGCGATTCCAAAACCCCAAATGAGCTTAAAAATCCATTATTACCAAAACCACTATTCCCAGACCAAAAATCTCCTTAAAATCCCAATTATGTTACTATGACCTCCAAGTTCGCCATCACTTGTTGTTGTAACCCAACACATTTGCTGCAGTGACCACATACAAAGCTCAAGCTTCAATAGCCAAGTCCAAGCTTTTGGTTCCTAAAACATGTTCACAACAGCTGCAACAAACAATACCTAAGTTGCCATAACTGATATGTTCCAACGCCTCAAGCACTTTCTAAGCCTTGACCATTCCAATAACCAAGTTTAGGAGTCAAAACCAAAAGGCTATCAGGATGTCTCAATTGCCACAATTCCATAATCAAGCATCATCAAGCCCCGAGCTTTAGTCAAGGAATCCAAGCACTATGCTTTACTCAAGAAGGAAAACATCTCAATTCATGGCGAATAAAAGGAAAATATTGCAAAGGTAGTGCTATGATACTGCTGGAAGAACCTAAATGCTGTCAAGATGAAGTTTATTTTACCAAGCAATCAGAATTTTTGAAGCGATGTCAAGCTTTCAAGAAAAGGGGTGCTGGAAGCGTATTTTCCTATATTCATCCATTCTTCACCTGCAACATCCACCACTACTTGCCATACTCTAAGGAAGATCTTACACACCAAGATACATGATAGAACTCTAAGAGGCAAGCTATTGACAAGGCCTTTGCCAAAATGAAGAGGGAAGGAAGTAGCTGATGTCATAACATGTTCTGATGATTTGCTCGATGAAACGTATTGTGCCACCCGTGGAAGAATGACCCAAAGCCACCAGAGGCTATGTGGGAACCTTGTGGAAATATGAAGAAGTCCAACTGGAGCAAATATTCAAAATATGCAAGCTATAACACCCCGTGGCTACTTGCTAATGGATGGGAGAATGGTTCCA